TTCTTCAGTGTGAAGAACGTTATTACCTGAATAGGTAATAACTGAGTCCTGAGCAGACTGTCCAGAAAGGGATGGAGAAAAGCCCCTAGGTACACCTACACCTTCTCTATCCTCAACTGGCTTTAAAAAGGCCCATCTGCCAATTAGTTTAAGAAGGTGGGTCACAATCCCCCTTCCTTCCTTGCTGCTCTCCTGTGCTACTTGTCCTGATGGGGAGACCTGGTTATTTGCTGACTGAAAAGGGTTTGGCCTTGTTGTTGCTTCCACTGTTTAATTTTCCATGAGGCAACACACTGAACTTACCAGTGAGCCATGCCAAGTTGCAATTTTGATGGTATCTTGTTTATAAAAACAGGGAAAACAATTCTTATCTCATATAGGGCGCAATAATTAAATTAGATGCTCATGCCTGGCAGGATGGGGTCAGGATGAAGATAAGCAGGATTACATTCAGGAGCTGTTGGGTTGGACATAATTTCTGTTTATAGGATGTGTATGGTTACCTTCTGGCACAAACATCCCCTGGATAAGTCCCTGAGGATCTTTTCCTTTGGAAGCATCTAATACTGCCTTTGGTCTGTAGCTGGACTTTCCTCACCTGCCATACAGCTGATGCCTCAATACCTGCCTCTTTCCCAGCTCGTTCCCATTTGTTATTGCTTTCCACAGCAGAACTTTGACTAGTAGGAAAAGAGGGCTAAGAGTGCCCTGGAGTGAGCTGGAGTTATTGATGGCCAAGGTTAGCCCTGAGTTCAGCAGAAAGGAGCAGAACTACGTGAAGAACCTGATGACACCTCCTGTGTCCTTGTGATCATGTTTGACTAAGTGGCACAAATTACATGTGCCATTGCCTTAATATCTTAATTAGAGAACTGTTCAAATCATTAAAGGTGCCCTCTTTGAGTAAAACATTAACTGCTGGATACAAATAGACTGAACTTTGCCTAGCACACACAGAGACACAAAAACAATTTGCTTGGATCTGAGTTTTCTGGCATCACAACTTTCACTGGTGTCATCTGCCAACTCTCCATATTTCTGTAGGTTGGAAATGTCCCTTTTCCATAAGATTTGTAAGCCATTCCAGCTTCCACCTCTTCATTTAATTTTGTTCCACATTTCTCTTCTGCTTGTTGTGAGCTATTTCTGAGCTTACAGGACTGAAACCAGAAAGAAAAAAGCTGTATTTCAAGAATTCATTAATAATATCTCTTATCAGTAGACATCCAACACCCTACAAAAGAGATGAGCTTCACAATCCCCATAATGAGAAGACTGGAGGTCCAGCAGCTTCACCATTTTTGTGTTAAGCCCTCTACACTCAGCTGCCACCTGACTAAAACCAGAAAGAAGCTCTTTAGAGTTTTAATTTATGTCCCCCCGAAGTTGTACAGGAGGCTACAAGGTAGGACAGTGTGTAGCAACATTAATTCTGTCCCTGCACACGTGCCTGTGACCCCATTTCTACACCTTCAGCCCTGGAAGTGAATGCCAACCTCCACGTTGTCATTCTGCCCACTTGAGAACACACGACTGAACTGTATAATATCACATATTAAATCATGTAAATCGTCTTGGGATGTTGAAAGGTGCAGATAAGGTTATAGAAGTCTTACAGTGAGGAAGTTTACATGGCTGTTTATTTGTTTTACTCTCTAGTGTTTAAGTATTTGGGCATTATCATCACTGGGCAGGCTCAGCTTGGTTGAAATCTATTATGAGTAGGCCAGTAGTTCTGTGCCTAAGCACTTAAAGAGTTTTAACACTAAGTTACATTATACTTTTATTTTAATGAACAAATCAGTATTGTGGTGATATGTATTAAAACTATGACTGTATATAAAAGAATATAATATTTTTATCAAAGAAATTGTGAAATCTCACAAAAATCTCCCCCCCCCAAAAAATTAAAAATTTCATCAAGGACATTAAAATCTCACAAAAATAGTTATTTTGGTCCAAACAATACTGATCAAAATAGTGTATGATCAAAACTGTTTTGATCCAAATACAATCTGGTCAAAATAATATATGGAAACTATTGTTATTTAAATTTGAACAAACTATATTAGTCATTTGTGTTTGCAATTGTATTGGGACAGTGCAAGAGACACATTCCTAAATAATCTGGTGGTAGTTTTGTGAAATGAGATCATGTCAATAAAACAGTATTTAACAAAGACACAAAGAGCTTGTGTCTCCAGCAGATGAGATAGCAATCAGTGTGATTTCAGCAAGAACAACTCCTAAGTTCATATCAGGTTTGCTGTTGGAATTTTATTTGGTAGTAGGAGATAACAGCTGTAGTTGAAAGTTCTTAGCAGTCGTATTCGTCAAGTCAATTTGACCTTTGTTAATGGGCTTTAATTAGAACTCAGATTTTACAAGCAGAAGATTAAAATAAATTAAGTACTATAGAGATAAGGAATTATATTGGTGTCTGAGTGATTTTTAAGGCAATGATTTGCTTCTTGTTAAGTGAACCAAAAGTACAAAGGTGGCACGCAGCAGAGACATCGTTGTACCAGAAATGTGGTTGACCAGCTTTGCTGTGCCTGGGAAGTACCACCAGACTGGTGCTGGGCAGGGTAATTCTTTGCTCCAAAAATGTCTTCATGGCACTTTTAAAGTTTGGGAGAGAAGCTCAAGGCACACAGAGACTGGAGGGAAGTGAAAGTGGGAAAGAAGTGAAGAGGAAACAGCTTTTAGCCTTCACCACAGTTGTTTAGAGCAGAAAGAAACACAGGGAAGCAAACCCGCCCATGGTGGGGAGCTGATGACTTCAAAAATGTTGCCCTGAGGGGTGAATAGAGAGAGGAAACTGGAGAGAAAGGCCAGATTTGGTTGGGGGAAGTTTTATAGTCAAAGGGGTTTGCAACAAGAAGAAACATTGTGAATTAATAAAATTAGACAAGTCACCTGATCCACATCTGCTGGTGATAATTACATATAATTGTAAATCAGTGCTTTGATATTTCTCCATTTCAATGTAGAAAGGGGGAAATGACACAGCTGGCAAGAAAATTCATCTCTCCATACCTTACTAAACTGCTTATTTGTCATCGTGTGAGGAAAACAACAACAACAAAAGTGTTTTGTTGGTAAATGAAGTATCTTTTACTAACAAGCAGGAAAAATGAGCTCTGCAAAGCTTCCTTATTTAAGCTGTACGAAATATGAGACAACACTTTCAGGCATAGACATTTGAAATTAGCTACCAAACACATTCAGATTGATTTCAGAAGTTGTTGAATATCTATAGCTCCTTGTTCTTCCATCCAAACATTTAACAGGTTTCCAACTATCTCATCTTGGCTGACCTTTAAACTACATGAACAGTCATGGTGGAGAAGGCAAAAGAGGTTTGAATTAATCTTTTTATTTCTTGCTTGCTCTATGGAAATCTTAATACCACCACAGATAAGACAACTCCCAGGTCAGATAATGAAAACTGCAGCATTAAGAGCTGCACACAGCAATGGATGAGGGTAATGAACACATTAAAGCAAACCAGAACATCGTGGACAGAGAAAATGTCCTCATGGCTTAGGGAAAGCAGAGTTGGGCAGCTCTGGTTTTTTGCCAGATCCTTTTCAGTCTCTAACACTGCTGAAAAATCCCTTACTTGACTTTGTGTATAAAGTAAGTCAACATCTCAATGCACAGACACTCTTTCTCTCACACATATGCAAATCCACACTTGCACATATGTAGTGTACATGTGCATTTATGTGTATGTATCTGCATATGTGGATTTTAGTGCTCTTCCTCTCCTACAGCCTTCTGGTTCATTCCTGCTGTTTATTAATACTACTAATTCCAACAAGGTCTTATATTTTCTTTTTTAATCTTGTTTCTTATTTTGTTATCTCCTGCTCCTTCAGTGCTTTCCAAAGGTGGACCAAGACATTGTCCTGGTGATCCCCTGGAGTGAAGATCAGCCATTGGACAGGCAGTGGGTTAGGAGAACAATATGTAATGAGTGTATCAGAGCAGTCTGTGGCACAAATTGTGTTTTGAATAAAATAAATATGTATATTTCTAAGAGCTCAGTCAGCTTTAAGAAGTGATGTTAAAACATTTTGGGAACAATGGTGATTTAGCTGACAAAATCAGATTTTAGGGTAACCCCATAGGAAATTGCATAATATATAATTGTGCAAAGAATCTCTTTATCCTTCATGGTCAATGGAGCCTATGATTTGCTCTGCAATCACATGCTTTATATTGAAATAATTCTCTTCCCAGAGGATTTTAAAATTAACAACATTGGACTCAGTTAAGTACCTTATCTAGAAACAAAAGCACGAAGTTAAAAATCTGCCTTAATTTAAATGAATCCTGCCATACTTTCAGAGTGGTTTCAGGTCACACATGGATGAATATGGTAAAGTGACTATTTGTGAAGAGATATTTAATTCAAAGATGTGCCACTCAGTTGACTCTGGAGCAGCTTGCATGTTAAGAAATACAGCCCATGACTGTCCAGCGATGATAATTTGTTAACTCCTAGAATAGCCCAGTTAAAATCCACAAAATGAAAGGAAAGGATGAGCCCCTGCTGTGAAGCGTTTGTCACTGCCAAAGAGCCAAGACCAGAACAGTGGGGAGATGTTTTTCTTTTCCTCTCCCCACCTGCCGAACAGGACGAGCATGCCTCGGCAGTGTCCATCATTTCCCTGCAAAGCCGCAGGGATGTTTTATCCACCTGCCTGTGCCCCGGCTGTGCCTCGGCCCCATTCCCGGGAGCAGACAGGCGAGTTACGTTTTTCTCGCTTTCCCCTTTCAACCGGTGAAAGAGTTAATTTTCATGCGAACGTGCAAGAATTACGGGGTGTGTGTGTGCGCGGGATTAAAGATCAGCTATTATAAATTGGCAATCTATAAGCCACCGGCCCGCGTTGCACTTTGACCTTATCTTTATATGTAACAGGAAAAAGCTGTTCTGAGCCCAGACAGAGGGGGAAGCACGGCGGCTGCCGGAGCGCCGGGCTCAGCAGGGACCGGGAATGTTATCAGCCATGGAAGTACTGTACAGCGGGAATAAAGAAGAACACCCAGAGCCCGTAAAGGCCGAGGTGCGGGGTAAGTGAAGGAAGATCTGTTCTAAAACGCGCCGCTGCTTTGGTGTTTTCCAACCCGTGAAAACTGCGACACTTGTTCACCCGGGGCAGCGCTGGAAAGGGAAACCGAGGGAGGGAGATACGCCAGGGAGTTTTGTTTAAAGGACTGATCTCAGATAATGTTTGTGACCCTGCTGGGGGCTTTTTCTCACTTCGTGGGCAATTCTGTGTACTTTTCAAAAGTCTGTTTGACCAGGGCTCACTGAAGTTGGTGGTGAGGGACGAGAGCGGGCTTTAAGCTCGGCCGCTCCCTCCCCCATGGCGCTGCTCCGGCTTTCGCTTTCTTTCTCTGGGGCTCTTCCCTCCCCTCCCTCCGTCCGCTCCCACTCTGCCCGGGCTCCTGGGGGGGCTCCCGAAAATTCGGGCTCCTCATCAGGTAGCCAGGCAGCTGTTCTGGCTGCCACCGGGTAGCGTTAAAAAGAGGGTTGAGAAGTTAATCGAGTAAAAACTGAGGAGTTTCCCTCAGCGGAAGTTTGAAGTGACTCCCTAGGGAGGAACCCTTGACCAGCCCGTTATTTTTCCTGGTTTCTTTTACTTTACAGAAGACTTTTTTTGCTACAGCTACAGAAGAGGTTTGTTGCCGAGAACCCCTGTTTAGTAAATCTCTGCTGTATTGTTTGCGACATGTAGTCCAAGAAATGTAAGGAATCTTACACTCATTGTAAAGTCACTTCCCAAGTACAGCACTTAAAAAGATGACAATTAAAACTTGCACGACTTCGTTGTTGTTCAGTTTGGTGGCTGAATGGGAAACGATTTTGTGTCAAGTCAGACGAAGTGCTTTGCTATGATGGCCTTTCAATTATTTTATGCCTTTATGGGTTTATGCCTTTCAATTATTTTTTCCCTCAAGATAACTACTTATTGAAACATTTGAAGTTGTTTGCAAACAAACCATTTATCAGATCTGATCTCTATTATGCAATAGTTTATTTGAACAAAGACTGCATATTTCAAAAAATAAAGTTATGTATACAAAATATTCCTATATATAAAATTTCATTGCTAAAGTAAACCCATAGAGAACCTTGACCTCTTTAAATATTTTGCTAGTCCTGAGCTCTGCCAGTATTTTGGCTCCTTGTTACTTAATATGTACACTGTAAATATAAACACCTACTTTTAAGATCAACTGCAATTTAACCCATGCTCTCCATGTGGGCCATGTACAGCCATGTCTGAGACTCTGTTGCTACAATAGTTAATAAATATCCAAATATTTGAGTCTCCTGTGTCGCTGTTGTGTCCTCACATGGTAGGGAAAAGAATAAAGTCCAGATTTTTAAAGGAATATAACACTTTAGGATGCTGACTGGTACCAAGTGTGATTTACAAAGTGGTTGGTACCAAGTGTGAAATGGTTAATTCCCACTAAGATGAATTTTCATCTGAAAACCTCACTAGCTGACCCTTTGCTCCATGTTTTCCATACTGAAAATATGCCAGAAACTACACTGAATTGCTCCAGAAGTTTCAGAAGCTGTATTAAATCCACAGTGCCTTAAAACGAAGATCCTCTTTTCCCCCTGTTTATCTCTTCCAGCAAAATTATTTTATTGGCCTGTCCTGAAACTTTTTGAGCATCATTACTCTAATACACGGGAATAATCTCTAAACAAAATTTTTAGCCCTGATAGCTGCAAGATGTTGCCTGAATTGCCCATAATATGGGAGAAATAGCAAAGCTTCAACCTGCTACTGCCAGATAACAGGAAGTATAGAAAGGGAAGTGGCAAGAAGAAAAACATTTGTATTTTAGGCACGTAAAAAGACTCAACTTGTTCAGCAGTTAATGTTCAGTAGTCAACCAAATGAAAATCATGGATTTATTTTGAATATGTACTTTCTGAAGCTCATAATGCTATTCTCTCTGAAGGATTTTTTTTTCTTTTGCTAACTGGTGATTTCTTCACTGTGTTCCCACCAGCTATTTTTAGTTCCTCAGGTTTTGTGCAATAACCTGTATTAAAGGTTAAACCATGTTCATCATACACAAAAAAAGTACTATAATTGTTGCTTTGGAACTTCTTATGTTAGAGAGGGAAGTAAGATTTGGTTTTCCAGGGTCTTGTAGGGACAAGAAAAAAAAAAAAAAGGAGAAAAAAAATTCTTCATCTGTTGTGTCAACAATTTTTTATCTTCCTCATGTATTCCAGAACTGTGACCCTAATGAAGTTATGCCCTAATGATGGGTGATGGCTGCCCAATCCCTGGAACTGTTCAAGGCCAGGCTGGATGGGGCTTTGAGCAACCTGGTCTAGGGGAAGGTGCCCCCGCCCAAGGCAGGGGGTGGAACTAAATAATCTTTAAGGTCCCTCCCAACCCAAACTATTCTATGAATCTATGATTCTAGCTGTGTGGAGGAGCAGTATGTAATTTTAAATGTTCCCTCAGGAGGCATACACAAAGAGAAACAAGTGAGGCTTTTCATTTAATATCTGTCATGCTTTTGTTCATCTCTTTAACCCCAATGACATTCTTTAATTGTTGTCATTCTGTGAGTCAAATGGTAGGTAATATTTTTCTTGCAGAGATTTGATGAGGAACATTTCTGATTGAAAGCTCAACAGTACTTACATATTTTCAGTATAATATTCCTACACTTTATTTGTGTACAAAGCACCACATTATGACCAATGTCACAGAAGCACTCCCAAAATGACACTACATTATGCTGTGTAATTTAATTAATGGGATTTTTACTGGAATTAATTTAGCCTGAAGTCTAAATTGATATACTGGAGGCCGGTGCAAGTCATCTAACCCATAAAATATGTTTGTTTCTGATAAGCTGTAGCTTTTCCTGGCACGAAGAAAAGGGTTGAAATGTATCACTGTAAAATCTGAGTGCAGCAAAGAAAGGTCCAACTTTATTTGCTTCCTGATAATTAACAAATTACACTCCAGCAATCTCATCTTCTTATAATAATCTCATATAACAATAGTAAGAGTCATGCAGAATGTTGCATTTTTGAGCAGAGGAAATTTTAGTGAACCCAAACTCCAACATAATTGTATGGTACTGCAAATCTTAACACCAGTAGGCTGTGTAGCCCTTAGGAAAACTGTCCTGGAATAGGCCCCTCACCTAAATGACTGGATACTGGTAACTGCTCTCTGTTTCTAGGTCAGCTGCCCACTTGGTTGCAAGGGATCCTTCTCCGGAATGGCCCAGGGATGCACTCCGTAGGGGACAGCAAGTACAACCACTGGTTTGATGGCTTGGCTCTGCTGCACAGCTTTACATTTAAAAATGGTCAGTTGTTGCACATGACACTAAAAGCAGCTCCAGGCCCCATATTTTGGTGCCTTACGTTGCTAACTCTGTTTTAGGCTGGATTAGAGTGTTTGAGGTTTTTTCTGCGGCGTGGCTTGTGTGGGAACTGCTGTGGGGAAAGTCTTTCCAAGCACCCTCCCACCTCCCTGTCTGCAGCAGGAGTGTCTCTGCAGGGCTGTTATCAGGGAGATGTTATATTATCCTTTTTTCAAGAGTGTCAAAGTTCAGTGTTGACAGCACAAAACCAGCTCTGGGCAGGTCACTGCAGGGCAGCCTTTCCCTTCCATCCAGAGCAAGAAGACCTCTGCTGTTTTAAAATGGATCAGCCCTGTAATATCTGGAGATTTTCTGTTGTGGATGAACAGCCTAATTTAAGGGAAGACTAACATTCCCCTTTGGGGATTTGGTTGCAGCTATAACAGCTGCCAGCAGAGCAACTGGGCCACTGTGTCACTTCACACATCAAACCTCACGTAGGTATATTTGACACCCTTACAGTCCATCCTCCTGCTTGTCATCTTTATGGGGGAAAACAGGCAGCTCCTCTATCCTAAGTAATTGCATTTTTTTGTTTTCAGTTAGAGCATTTTTCATTCATTCAGCTGTTTTACAGTGTGAGGCAGGATGGTTTACACCTAGATTCTTGTGGCAAAAAGTATATGTCTATAAAATAAAATGGTATTTACTCCTGCCATCCTCCAATCCTAGTGCTCACTGTTTAGTTTTCATTTCTGTGATTGGAAGCATTTAATGCATTTAATGCAACTGCAGGATCTCCTTGCCTGTCCAGATCTATATCCTTAACAAAATAACCTATAAATAAATGTGTTTTTTTTAAAATTGTCAGTATGTTTTAATTATCTAAAACAAACAGAGCTCACTTAGTTCAAGTGTAGGGGCCCATTAAATATTTTAGGGCAGACATTGATTCCTTCAAGCAATTTGTTACTCTCTCATAACTAGATTTTGCCAAAACAGGAGATTTATCACATTGGTACATGGATTGTATAATTAATCATTTTTGCACAGTGTTTTATTTTACTAGAACAATTTATCCAAATCCTTCCTTTCCCCTCAGAAGTCCCCCAGTACTGCCCAAAAGTGTTGGGAGTCAGAGAATCTTGACAAACTACTACCCATCTCAGCAGCCACAAAGCCTTTCAAAACAGGGAGTTAGGGGCATTGTTGGTTTTGTTCCAAACTATTGTTGGCTAAAGGACAGCTGCTTGAGAAACTTTGGCTTGACCTGATTTGCTAATTTTCTGAAGAACTAAGTCTAAAATGTGATGGAAACCTGTTTGTTGTCCTTCAGGTGAAGTTTACTACAGAAGTAAGTACCTCCGAAGCGACACGTACAACTGCAACGTAGAAGCAAACAGAATTGTGGTGTCTGAGTTTGGCACTATGGCTTATCCAGATCCATGTAAAAACATATTTGCCAAGTAAGCAACGCTTTCCCCAACAAGATTCTTCTGTTTGCTTCTCTCCCTGTTTGCCCTGACACATCTGGACAGTAATGAAATTGGTTCGGCAAATTTACAGTTACTAAATGTTGAGAAGGCCTCTGTGGATTAGCCTAAGGCAAACACTGTAAATTGATTTTGTCACCAATGTTGGCTGGTTTGTTCACTCAGCATGAACAGATTCTGTAAAAAACAAACAGTTTCTGTCTCGTGCTTTTCGCAAAACTTACAATACTGTAAGGGGAGAAGCAGCAAGAGAGGAAAAGATCACAGAATCACAGAATATGCTGAGTTGGAAGGGGCCCACAAGGGTCACCAAGCCCAACCCTTAGCCCTGCCCAGGACTAAGAGATGGGGAAGGAATTAATGCAAAGTCTATTCAACAAAAAGAAGAGAAGCATCACTAACTGCAAAAATCAGAAAAGCTTTTTGATTAAAGCTGAGAGGCGAGGTGTGAGCCATCATATTATCCTTGGTCTTGTAAGATTGGCTGTAGGTATTCCCTAACAAATGCCAATAGCTCACCCCTCTGTACTTCCTGGCTGAACCTCGAAGTGATATTTGGTAAGAAAACATGCAGGAACAGTTCTTGCAGGACAGCTGATATGTTGCAAGTCGTTCCCCTGAGATCAGATGATTTTCTTCCCTCTTCCAGCACTAATAGAGTAACTGGCATTTTAAGTTCAAAAGGGATATAAGCAACTTTGTCTTGGCTTCCAGGGACTATGATAAAATCCTACACTTATAAGAAAGGCTTTGGAGCCCATGTGTGAAGTTTGATCTTTGAAATCATAATTGTGATATGGGATAACACTGGGAACGAAAATATTCCTTCAGGGAGTATATGACTATCTATTTATGAAGGCATACACTGAAAAACCTTCCAGCTTTTAGGTAGGAACTGCTAGGCCAAATTTTCCCAAGGTAGGCACAGGAGAGTGTGTAATTAGCCCATCCTGCTAAAGCAGTGCATGTGCTAGAGCTGACAGCAGGAATGGGCCTGGATGCCCATTTGTGCATGGAAAAACATTTGCTTGCATGTCCCTAACCCTCCCCCAGGCCAAGGGCATTGGAGAAGTCCATCTCCTTTGCCTTTCCACCCTTTCCACCGAGGCAGTGTGGGAGCTGCCAGGAGAGGGCACAGCAAGGAGAGGCAGCCCCAGGTCACACTGCCCGGTGACTTGTGCTCTGTGCAGGGGAAAGCAGCTCCAGCTTCCAGCTCTAACGAACCCATTGGGAATTTCCCTCCGTACAGGGCATTCTGCTATTTGTCTCACACCATTCCTGAGTTCACAGACAACTGCCTGATCAACATTATGAAAGCTGGGGATGATTTTTATGCTACCAGCGAGACCAACTTCATCAGGAAAATTAATCCGCAGACTCTGGAGACGTTGGACAAGGTATAAACCTCTGTCTGTCCTTTTAGTTCCTTGTCTGCTAGTGAATAAAGTTTCAGGCTGACTGATAAGGATCCTTGAACACATGCAGGACACAAAATATTTTTCTTCTACTGTTGCCTTACTTTTGAAATCGTGGCAAAGTGAAATAGTGAAGGTACCAGATCTTTCAAGGACTCCTGAAATCAAATTTAAATCCCATGTGGTTTGGGAAAAGCGGGGCTTTGGGCAAGTTCACTTGTTCATAATCTAGCAAGGTTGCAGGAATAATACCACAATCACATGATTATTTTGAATGATTGCCATTATTATGTATCTCAGTTATAAAATTATTTACATAATTATCAAGTCAGTAGGTCAGTTATATGACTACTTTTCAAGAACCTTATGCAAGATATTACTTAATTATCAAAATGGAACCTTGATATATGGAAATATACAATGAGGTTTTTTTCTAGCACGCAGTACAGTTTGAGTGCAACTTCCAAAATTTAAATCAAACAGAAATCTTTTTGCTCCAGCAGGTTGCCAGACCCACAGCCCTGTTAAATAAACTGATTCCAGGGTGAAATGGGAATTCTCTCAGGAATTTCTTCAGCTGATCCTCCCCTGGTGTTATGTGGCTGCAAGGGAGGGGTGACTGTAATTCAGATTCTGTAACTTGGTTTTAGCCTTGAATTAGGAAATGATTTGACACAAGCCATTTGGTTTAAATATTTAAATTTCAAGGTTGTTTGAAAATGGGGTGCCAGTGTTAAAAAGATGATGGATTTGTGGTGTTAGCTGAGATCAATTTTAATTCTCTTACACTTCTCTGAGACCTCTTATTTTATCATTTTCCAGGTTGACTACAACAAATACATAGCTGTAAGTGTGACAACTTCTCACCCACACTATGACAGTGCTGGAAATATTTTCAACATGGGCACTTCAATAGTTGATAAAGGGAAGACAAAATACGTTCTATTTAAGATTCCTTCCTCTGTGCCAGGTAAGATATCTCTTTTATTGGTATTTTCTAGAAACTTGTTAGCAATTTCTTTTCTTCTGAGGGTAAGGAGGAGTGATACAGCTCATCTAGCAACCAGTGGTGTTCATTTTCTTAATTTCAACTTATTGTGAACTTCATGTTAACTGCTTAGCCTGTCTGGGCATGTGCTCTTCCAAAGGTCCATCCTGAGTACTGTGTAAACAGGGTATTTCAGTAGGAAGGACCTTCCTTTCAGATGAAGATTTGAAAAACAATTTTCTCTATAGGGCAGTATATATAATTGGAAGTTGTAAATTTTAATTTCTTCATAAACGAAAATTCTCACAAAATGCTGATACCCTGATGATAGGGAAGCAAATAATACCTAATATAGAGCAAATTCCTCTCTAACCTGGCTTATACTGGGCCTTGCTGAAACACCATCCTTTGCTCACAGAGCAAATCCCTTACTTTATTTCCTTCAAATAATATTTTGTGTGTGTGTGGTGTCGTTTAAAATCAGCTGCTAATGGGATGCCTGGCCCTTGCTGAACAATCAAGAGGCTTCCAAGAGCTGCAAGATCAGTTTGTAATTTCTAGCTGGGGCTCAAACAAAGTCAATATAGGTCAAGCAGGAACATCTCCTTAGCAGTTGAAAAATATGGGGACATTTGAACTCCTTTTAAAAGCTACTGATTTAAGTGAACACCTTTCTCCTCTATACTGGATATTCTGAAGGCAGTAACCAGTGGAATCAAATCCCAAGACAAGGGGGCTCTGCCTGAATGGATCTGGCATTGTGATTTCACTGTGTTGCTTCACTGGGATGCAAACTTCTATGTTAATTATACAGTAGTAAACAAACCACTTTCTTAACAGGAAAATGCAACTAAAACTGAGAGGAACCTGTTCTTCTATGCATGGGAGAAACCCAAGCACAGGTTTGAATAGGAACTTATTATAAATATATTTTATTTTTTGACCATTTTTGCTTATATTCAGAACAAGAAAAGAAGAAATCTTGTTTCAAACACCTGGAAGTGGTTTGCTCCATCCCTTCTCGCTCTCTGCTCCACCCCAGCTACTACCACAGCTTTGGAATCACAGAGAATTACATCATCTTCGTGGAGCAGCCCTTCAGGCTGGATATTGTCAAAATGGCAACTGCTTACATCCGAGGGGTGAGCTGGGCTTCCTGCCTTGCCTTCAATAAGGATGACAAGGTATTTTTCCTGATGCTGAGTAAGGGAATCAGGCAGGCCAGTGACCTCTTCCATGCTGTTCTGTTGTCATCTGGTTCATTCATTTCAATAGTCCCTTGTTTTTTTAAACCCTTGGCTTTCACGTTGCACTGTTTGTTTAGAAGTTGTCTTTTTTTGAATACTGTCTTCCATGTCCAGAAATTTCACAAATAAATATGCTGATGCTCTTGAGAAAGAGGGTAGTTTAGAAAGTAGGTACTGTTAGAAATACTGTGTTCTAGCAGAGAAATTCCAACCTGCACCAGCATCAGACACATTCAGTTGCTCCTGGCCCAAACAAAATGCTGTGGATGAGATCTGCTCTGGGGGCATTGCATGTGATAGAACCAAACTGGTGGAGCAGCCTGCACTGAACAAAAGGAGAGTCTTTCACTGTGGCAACTGAGGGAAAAAACCTGTTTTCTGAGGACCATGTTTCCACTTATTGATGCTCTGGCCATCAGTAAATGGGACTTGCTGGGGTACAGGGCATCAGCACAGAGCAGTACAGAGACCCTCGACCAAGGCAGATTTATTTAACTTAAAAAGAGAGCAGGGGATTTTCCAGATTTTACTGGAAAATTTCAATCCTCAGCCCAGCCCAAAAGTAATTTGCAATAGTAAAAGGAGCTTAAAGCTCTTCCACACTCATTTTATTCCAGCATTTTTTGGTCTTCAGGTTGGAACCTCTTATCTCCCAGTAGCAAACCCCGAGCTCTTACTGTGCTTCAATAGACAGACAGTGATTAGAATGGTGATGGTTACCATTAGAAAACAGTTTTCTAAATAGCTATTTGCTGACTATGAACAGTTTTCAATAATGTTTTTTTATCTTTCAGACTTGGTTTCACTTTGTAGACAGGAAGACTAAAAAAGAAGTGTCCACCAAGTTTTATACTGATGCCATGGTATTTTTCCACCATGTAAATGCTTATGAAGAGGATGGCCACATTATTTTTGATATTATTTCCTATACAGACAACAGCTTATATGACATGTTCTATTTAAAAAACTTGAATAAAGACTTTGAAGAGAACACCAAGCTCACCTCCATCCCGACCTGCAAACGATTTGTCGTTCCTCTGCAGTTTGACAAGGTAGAAAGAAAATGGCTGTTTAATGTGTTCTTTGATCAGTAATTTCAAATACATCACTGTGATCAACGGGTGAATTACTAGTTGCCAGCCTTTATGTGCAGATTTCTGATTCTGGGATACACAAAATGAGCAGGAGGTTTGTTTTGTGTATGTATTGTGAGAAATGGCAGCAAACATCTGGACACAGCTACGTGGATCCAGGTGCTGACACCATCCCTTGTGGAGAACAGGGCTATTGGGAACATGGCATTCTCTTACCAGGGAGATTATTTGTTAAATGCCATCAAATACAAGCAGATATATCACCTTGGCTGCTGGCTGCAAGGGCATGTGTGAGGTTTTTCACAATCTGTTTACTGCACTTTACTGGAGCCTACATTTAATACACACACGCTCCCAACCATTGCAGTGGTTATATTAAAGTAAGAAGATTTCATTTAAGTGTGAGATACACCAGGAAGAGAAAAGATTTTATCTTTCAGTTTAATTTAAAACATCATTTTACATCATTGTTTGCACAGATCTTATACTGCCCAGCAACTCAGGCAAGTTTCTGCCTGATACTTTTGGAATGGATATTACTTTTTCTTTCTACATCCTGGAATCTTGCTGCTTTGTTCATGTTTCAGAAACAGCTCTGCAGCACTGACAAAGGACATGTTGGATCACACCAGCTGTTCAAACTACCCTGTGCAACCTTAAAAATTCAGCAGTAGCACATAAAAGAGTGTATTACACCTATTTTTGCACTTGATTTTTAGCAGGTGCAAAAACCTAACATTGGTGACTTCTAGTGGGAGTTTGATACCCAATTCTTTGAAACCCATCTTCATTCATTTAATTCACAAATTTGTTGTACTTTTGGAACATAGCCACATGTATCTAAACCTTTCTAGGGACTCAGTGTGATTCAAAATGATTATTCTATGATATATTAAAATACTATGAGTATAACAAGATTTCTCATGAAAACCTCACAATGTTACAAGAGAAACACCATAAGAAGGATCTTCTTGAAAGCTGATTATTTGTTTGCTCCCCACATTGTTTATATTAATATCAAACACGATGAAAAATCTAAATGAGAAGCATATCCTTACAGACACAAGATTTTTCAGTGTATATCTCTTTCAGGACGCTGGAGTAGGTTCTAATTTAGTCACAATTCCCTCTACTGCAACTGCTGTAAAGGAGAAAGATGGGATCTACTGCCAACCTGAAATACTGTGTGAAGGTGAGACATGACCATTATACAGATCTCAAATACATTCTCCTACACACACAGAAGTGCAGTCTAATAATGCCTGAGAGCTGTTCATATATGGAAAATCTTTATAAAGCAAAGGGAAATGACACTTTTATTGAACATGCTCAGTGTAGATATTGACAGTATATTTTTTTCTTCTTTATTGCCTTCCTCTGGGTCTATCCAGTAATGCATGACCCTGAACATTTAAATGCCTGATGTTACATCAGTTTTGTGTTAATACAGGATCCCAAGTCTGATGTCACATCTATTAATAGGGCTTGCAAATCTACCTGTTACAAGAGTCATTTTAGTTAAATGGGTCTGTTATAAATAGTACCTTCAGTTTTTACTGTATTTTATAATGTTTGCCTTGAAAAGCAGATTTTTAACCTTTTTTCAGGGGATAATAACAGGAATATGCAAATAGTATATATTTAGCTAAAGTGAAAGTAATGTCTTAGAATGGTAGCCTCCAGTTTTATCTCAGTTGTTCAGGTCATGTATTTATGAAGAAAGAAAAAAACCCACACCGAAAAAAACCTTCATAAATTCCAGTATAATGAATCCCTAAGAATGAAATATCATCAGTTTTTGAACTAACAACCCTGGCTTAATTATATTAACCCCCATCTTCTGCTTCTTAGAAATTCAGACATACAAACTCTATGCAACATCTTTATTAAATAGTGTCAGGGTTTTCCACAGGGCAAAACTTCCTGAAGATTGCTACATGCAAATGTACATTTCAGTTATTTTTCTTTTCTTGTTCCTAACTCTTGAACTTTATTTTACCCAGGGATAGAACTGCCTCGCATCAACTATGACTATAATGGCAAAAAACACAAGTATGTCTTTGCAACGGAAGTGCAGTGGAGTCCAATTCCTACAAAGGTATAATTAACATTTACAAAGTCAGTGTTTTCCCCTTTGTGTGTCATTCACATGCAAAGAAACACGAAAAGCCTGAATTCTTATGAGGGTGAGCTCATGTTGTACCATTTCCCTGATAAAGTATTGATAAACTCAGGCTTCTTTCTCCAGCTTTCTATTCCCACAAAGTCTCTGGAATAGTTACTGAGACCCTCAGTTTTCTGCTCTACTGGGCTGAACCTTCTGTAATGTGCCAAGAGCTACAAAGGAGGGAGTAGGAAGAAGTACTGATAGATGTACATATTTAATACTTTTTTCCTTTTCAAAACCTAACTAAAAAAAATAAGATATTGCAACGCTACCTAATAAACTTGAAATATTAAGACAATATCTAATTTTTCAGAAAGCTTTATATTTTATTGGCTGGTTCTCTCTTAGAGGGTAGCAAATGCTTTGTTTACCTGTGCATGATGCCAGCTTTTCAGGAGACAGCCTTTAGTGTTAATATTTGAAGGTAAGAATGTTATACAGACAAACTCACTCTTTACAATTCTTGTTCTGTGACTACAAGGCAGCACAAATTGAGGTCACTGTTGGTTCTTGTATATAATTACCACAACTGATTACAAAATAAAGTTGGATTTCTGCATGATGCAAGAAAATTTATTGCAGCATATCTGACAGAAGCTCAAACAAATCTGCAAGTTTGTGATTTCCAGTGCAGATAATCCCTGATTGACTTAAACATAACAAAAGATGCTGTTAGGAGATTTTCTTTTTTACATCAGTTGCACTTTAATGAATGCAAGCACAACAACCACCACATATAATCCACATATAATCCAATATAATAAGGTAAAGTTTGTCAGTGAAATTGCTGTAATCTTGAAGTTAGATGAGAGAATTCTTCCAAATTCTTCCTCCACTAATCAGAATAGTTTCGCTTTTGTGTAAACATATTTTTTTGGCTTAAGATCAAAAGGGAAAAGAATAGAACTGCATCTGTGTGGGTAGAGAAGAGGCCTTAATGGAATTGAACTGAAAATGCCAGGCATCCCCTCTGGCAATTGGTTTGGCCACTCAGTGAGATGAAAATCCACACTCTGCTCCTTCAGTAAATTCCAGTGTCTGCCCCACTGGTTTAATCTTTACCCCTCACTATGAATAGCCTTGGTTCTGGCATAGGTACCCTACTGCACAATAGAAGGCCTTGAGAAATAGGGAAAATAATTCACAGGATTAGAAAATGTTTTCTGCTCTACTGCAGAATCTCAGTGAATTGGCACAAGGACTTAAATGTTCTGGGCCTTGGACTCTGTAGAGTGAGGGCATTATTGACACTGAAGATCTCGTGATCTGTTAGTGTTTGTAAACTATAAATAAAAGGTGCAGCCACTAAATTATGCAGCCACTAAATATGACTCCAAAATTTAACATTTTCCAGGTGTTTCCTTCTTGTGCCTTGTTGCTCCTTAACCCTTAGCACTGGTGCCCCCTGCCAGCTGTGTGTTCACATTGTACCTTTGGAAAAAGCTACTGTTGGGGTCACTGACATTTTTCTTTTCTGGTCACAACAATTTAGATTGCAAAATTTAATACCCAGACAAAGGAAATGCTCCACTGGGGAGGGGAGGACTGCTGGCCATCAGAGCCCATCTTTGTTCCCAGCCCTGATGCAAGAGAAGAGGATGACGGTAAAATAACGACAACATTCCGAAAGCTGGGGTTACATGAGTTTTGTATTAAATCCTGCAAGTTTTATTGTTCTTAGTCCAGAAAGCTGGGTTCATGCTTCCACTGGGAGATTAAAATTAGCACCAGCCATTTTATTCCTGCAGACAGAAAACCAAAGTAACAATAGATCAAAATCAGCTTCTTAATGTTTCAATGGAGCCATAAACAATAAAACCAATGCTTAGGATTTTCCAGAGAGCCACTCAGAGATGGATTTACCAACAGTGGGAAGTTGGTGATGTTACCAGTGAGAACCAGTGGCACTGCAAATACTCCTGTAATCTCCATCCAGTTCTCTTCTCAGCTGAGCCCTTGCAAAGCCAAATGGCAAACAGCTGAAAGGATGAGCCCCAAAAATACCAGGAACAGTTTGGTGTTGGTTTGATTGTTTTCCTTCCCAATGAACTGCAGGCAGACCAGCAGAAAGCACAGAAGAGAAGCATCCATTAGTTCTTGAGCACTCTCAGTAAAGTACTCAATCTAGTAAAGCACTTAGTATTCTAAAACTCACAGGAAATAAGAACTGTTTCCTGACAATGTTGTCTTTCCTGCTTGGTGTTACTATTATATGCTTCTAATTCTTCATTTGTACATCACAGGTGTTGTTCTGACTTGTGTTGTGAGGACTGATCCAGAGAAAGCACCCTTCCTACTTGTCTTGGATGCTAAAACATTCACAGAATTGGGACGAGCCACAGTAAATGTAAAAATGCATCTGGACCTGCATGGAATGTTTATACCAGAGCAAGATTTGAAGACTGAGACTGAATAAAATGCTGTTTGTCTTATTGCACAGACCAAGACAACCTTCTACTGAATGGAGGATAATATCCTTCAGGAACAACCTTCTCTTATGACAAGAAATGACTAATTATAATCTCCTCAATATCTATATATAATCTCTTATAAGAGATAGCAATGACTTTTGTTACAAATTCTTATATGCACAACTGGTCTATCACTATTCCAAAAGAAGAATTATGAGTATGAAGTGCTAATGTTTTATACAACTCACGGGGCAGGGAATAGGAGACAAAGGTAGCAAGAAATGTTTTATTTGAGCAGGCTCAAGCTTTGTGAGGCAATGAAGGACTGTATTTATAGGGTGACGCATGGCATGAGTCACAGATGGCTGCAGGTCATGGAACTTCCATGGACTGTTGCAAGACTGCAGCTGACAATGAAAGTTGTCTCCTGCCAGAAGAACCTCATGTTAAACTATCTACTATATTAATAATTCATGACAGTGTATTCTCTTGGTGCTTGATTTCTTAAATTCCACCATAACCAAAGTATTACGTTGAGGTGCTACATTTTTCTTATCCAGAATCCACAATACTGCAGCTTTGCTAGTCATTTCATGGGGTATTTCTCACTTTTATGTTGACAAAACCAAGTAACTTTATTGAAATAGAGTATATATTTTTATGTATCATTCAATTATACTTTAGTGATACTCAGTCTTAAGCACTTTGTATTTAAATCAGTTTTCCCTGAGGACAATATCTGACATTTCATGTAACTAGATGATTACGTTGTGTAAAAGATAAAAAAGAATTGCAGTATTTATTACTATTGCTACTCGTGTCTGTTAATAACAGTATGTATGTGAATGAGGGCAGTGTATTTCTAGCAGAACTCAAGACACAGGAACAACAAACTGTTTAGGGAAAGAGTGAAAGATCTAATCTAGGTCTCATCTGAACCACACAGAAGCTGAAACTTCAAACAAGCTGTTGTTGCCAGAGCTGAGCATTTGCTTTATTTCTGCTTAGGAGCATCCATATTCTCACATGGGTTTATCATTGCCTGTACCTGATGCTTCCTAATAAAAGTGCCCAACTCTCACTAACAGGCACAATTAAAAAGTACATTTCAACATCAAGTGCATAAAGTGCCAAGTACAGTGGGACTGGTTTTTGTTACAGGAATGGCATTTCCTAATCCCCTGAGTGTATTTCTGGTTCCCTGTTCAGGGCATTGATTTTTCTTTAAATGAGAACTTTTTTTCTTTGAATTGTATTTTCCTGTTGTAGATACACTTAGTGTTGGAGGCATCTTTACTGACAGAGAAAACCAGGTGTACATCCATCCATTTAGGTGTTCATCTGGTCTGTCCATATCACCACACTGCTCAGGTATCTCTCACTTTTATACACACATTCTCACAGTGTCTGTGCTGCTCATGCTGTTTTACAGGTAGGAAGCAGAATGAAATCGTGGTCATTTACTATCTCCCCATCACATGAGAATCTGGGCCTTGGTGACTTGTTCATGGTTACCTAAGATGTTTAGAGCAGAGCAGGAACTGCACCAACATCAGCCACAGTTCCTGTCTGCTCTGTAACAACTAGGACTCAGTTTCTCTGCTTAAGTCTTTGCACTTTATAAAGAATATACAGGCTATTTTTAATGTTTAAAAAAAAAAAGTCACTGTGGTCAGGTTTAGTTAAAATATGCAGTTTTGGGCATTCAGAGGTTTACATGCTCCACAGAATGGAAATAAATACTTCAGTAAGGTGTGTCTGCAGAAATAGTCACCTCTAGTGTTTCCAAGGCATGTTAACACTAGTATCTAAGAGAAGTTTATCTTCTATAGAAGAAATTGAATTCCATTTTTGTATGTAATAATGGAACTGGTATGGAAGGAAAGATTTGTGATATTGGCAAAAGACACCAGCTCTGGAGTTGTTCCTTTTGATCTGAAAAAGTTTGGATTGAACAAGTGCCCACAAATATTTCTGAAACTCTAAGATGGCAATGAATCAAAAGTCTAACCATTATTATAGATTGTATTTTAGGATTTTTTCTTCAGAATTTCTTCTGTAAAATTCATAGGGTTATGGTTTTGGATGATCATGAGTTTGGACACAGGAGTTAATTGACTTCTAAGGAACTAATTCTTACTGGTAGAGATGACACGATAGGGGAACACTCACCATAAAAGCAACCTGAAGTCTAAGAAAGTAAACCTGTTATTTACATTCATGCAGAAATAATGTAGAAAATAAATTGTAAGATCTTGTCTTGGGTATGATTTTTTAAACCAAATGGGCCACATTCCCTTGGTCAGTATTACAGAGGACTTGATTAGCATCAAGTCTGTAGCCAACCTGAAGAGAAAAACAGTGATGTAAATCTGGATTTGCCAAGCCCAGTATCCTCCTGCAGCAGAGACAAGAGGGATAAAACCACGTGGCTAATCACAAATTTGTTCAAGAATGTTTTTAGTGGTTGCAATACTAATCTGATGAAACATTTACCCTGAATATGGTAACACACCATATCATTTCCAGGCTGACAGCAGCACAGGGAATGTAGATATGCTTTGCCAAGTGGCTGCATGGCTTGTGGGTTTTTTTGATGTGGCAACATGGCACGTGGTAATGAGTGTCATTTGGTTTGCTGCTGACAAACTATGAAATCTCAAGGGCAGAAAGGTTTGAGTCTTCTTTTGCAGAAATTTAAGCCATAAATTAGCCCAGTAAAGCTCATGGAGTTATTGGAATGGCTTAAAACAAATCTAGATTGAGTGACTGCAAATAAAACTAGTAAGGATAGGTATCTCAACTGAAAAAAGTATATACTAGAGTGATAGAATCAGGCCATGGGTATGAATCATATCATTACTTCAGAGCTGTTACAAGTGGACCTTGGTAGAGTGGTTTGGTTTGTTGTTGTTTTGGTTTTGTTTTTTCTACCAAGACTTTCATTAAATCGAACAAATAACAAGGTATAATAAATAATTTGTTCTCTAAAAGTGGGTATTATCTGTTACACCTTCTCCTGTTGCCCCACATTTGCAGCAGGAGGAAGCAGAAACACTGTTTACTAGGACGAGTCAAAAACCAGAAATACAACAATGTTTTCCTGTGTAACAGGAGGCACGGAAGCACACCGGTGTCTTTCTTTTTAAATAACCAGGCCACTCAATGACAGCTTTTGCAATAATTCAAACCACTGTTCCCCTGGGTATGCAATTACCACAGTATTAATAACAAGCAGTCAAGGTGCAGGGTGCTCTCTGCCTTCATTACCCTCAAAGAGAGCTGGGAATGTGTCCTCTGGATCTGTTGTGCTCCTCCTCATTCTACACTTGACATCCTGAGTAATTACACCCAAGCCAGAAGAAGTGGCCTTCTAATATTTGTAAATGGGTAGTATAACCATAAGTGTTGCAAAGTTGCTGGTGTTTCATGCACATTAGCATGATTTTAGGCCTCCATGAAACATCCTCTGCTCCTAAAACTCTTGTTCAGAGCTGCACAGCAAACCTGGGGCCTGGTGCTCAGGTAAGCACTGCAAGCACTGGCTCAAAGGGGGCTGTGTCCACTCCCCACCCAGGCACTGAGAGCAGGGTTTGCACTGCGGGGTCTCCACGTGTGGATGTCCCAGCTGCAACCTCCATCTGGACAACAAACCAGCATTGTGTCTAGCTGGGGAAGAACAAGGCTGCCTTTGTGAAGGGATTCATTTGGGGTCACTTCCAGATACCTTAATTCATTTTCCAAGAGGTAAAATGGAGACAGCATCAAACTGAACGCAGGATAACATTTTGTCACATTTCACAGAAATGCAAGTAATAAAAGCATGTGACCCACCACCAGGCCCTCTGAAAATGTTACTGTCCCAGTGGAGCAATGGACAGTGTGATGTCCGTCTGGGTGTTCCACAGCCTGAGAAATCCCAGTCCAGCTGTGCCCAGCAGCGCAGGGAATGCAGTGAGCTGCTGTGCTGGGTCCCTCCTGGCAGCACCAGCTGGGTGTGTGTTTTAGAGCAGATCACAGCTTTTGAAACACTTTCACTCAGAGTGCAAATAGTTTCAGTGCTTAAATAGTGAATGCTGTTAAGAAAGCAGATGGAATCAAGTCACCTCTTAACGTGCAATTAAGTGTGTTAATCAACAGCCTAAAATTTAGCCTGTGAACAGTCCTGAAGGAGATCTCCTTTGCTGGAACAGGCCGTGTTTCCAGCGGGCAGCTGTGGAAAGTGGCACTATCGCAGTGAGTATCGCTGTACTTAAATCTGATTCTCTTACTTTTCCTCATGCTAATGCCAGTCATGTTCATCTCCAGCATGCATAAGGGAACAAATAAATAAATGTAAGACCAGTTTTACAGAATAACAGAATCAACTGGGTTGGAAAAGAACTTGGAAATCATCAAGTCCAACCTATGACCAAACACCACCCTGCCAACTAGACCATGGCACTGAGTGCCACGTCCAGTCTTTCCCTAGACACCTGCAGGGTGTCTAATCCAATGTCTAATCATCCTCTATGTGAAAAAATTCCTCCTGACGCCCAAGCTAAACCTCCCCTGGCGCAGCTTAGGACCGTGTCCTCTTGTCCTGTCTCTTGTTCCCTGGGAGCAGAGCCCGACCCCTCCGGCCCTACCCTCCTGTCAGGGAGCTGGAGAGTGACAGGGTCCCCCCGAGCCTCCTTTCCTCCAGGCTGAGCCCCCCCAGCTCCCTCAGCCGCTCCTCACTGGACTTGTGCTCCAGACCCTTCACCCGCTCCCCTGCCCTTCTCCAGACCTCCTTTAGCCACATTTCAAAGCCGAGAGGGGACACCACAGACACTTCAGGGGTAACACCCACACTCTCCCAGCCGTGCCGAGCTGAGGGTCCCCGCCCCGCCCCCGGCGGAGGGGCGGCGGTGCCGGGGCGGCGGGCCGGGCCGCCCCCGCGGGGCGGCGCGGGGAGATGATGCCGGCGGATGATGTCAGCGGCGGGCGGGCGCTCAGCCATGGTGTGAGGGCAGGGACTGAGCCGGGCCCGGCCCGGCCCGGCTCGGCGGCGGCAGCAGCACCATGTCGGGGCCGAGCGCCGTGTCGGACCCGCAGCACCCGGCGCGGCTGCTGCCGGGCGCTCAGCTCGTTCCGGGAAGAGACGCGGTTCTGCGACGCGCACCTGGTGCTGGAGGGCGAGGAGATCCCGGTGCAGAAGAACATCCTGGCGGCCGCCAGCCCCTACATCAGGTACGGCCGGGCCGGGCCGGGCCCGCGGCCGCTCGGAGCGGGGCAGAGCCGGGGTTACATAAGGAGGCTGGGCAGGACGGAGCAGCCCGGGAAGGCCGGCGGGGGCTCTGCGGACCCTGCGGCGCCTCGGCCCGGAGTTGGCCCGAGCGCCCCGGGAGGGCGTGGGGTGTCCCTCTGTGGGGACATTCAAACCCTCCTGGACGCGTTCCTGCTCCAGGTGACCCTGCCTGGGCAGCGGGGTTGGACTGGGATGATCTCCAGAGGTCCCTTCCAACCCTAACAGTCCTGTGTTTCTGTGGGAGCAGCAGCTGGGCCGGCTCCTTCCCTCCTTCCCTCCTTCCCTCCCTCAGGCCGGTGCCGCCGGGCTCCTCCGCAGGAGCCGCCGTGTTCTCGGCATCAGACCGCTGCTTTTTCCAGGTCCCAGAGGCTCTGTCACCCACCGGGGAAAAAAATCCCCCCCCCAGCACCTGAATTGCTGCCAAGTGCCTGGCGTGAACAAGCGACCCATAAAGAACGAGCTGTGCGGATGGTCGGGGAGGTGTCCGAGGGGCAGCATCCCAGGGGATGCCCTGAGGAGCTGGGCCGAGTCAGCACTTTAGCATCATTTTTTTTTTATCCTTAACGCCTTTTAGCAAGAGAGGGTGCTAGGTGGTGGTGATGTGTCCTGAAGTACATCGGCTTTTAAATTAAAAAAAACCAAGAAAACCAAAAAAAACCGGGTTTGTCTCCCCATCGCTCGTGCCCCTACAACATCCAAGAACATCCCTCGGAAATTGCGAGAGGGACAAAGCCCGGCCGTGCCAGGATCGCTGGCAGCTCTTGGCAGCGGGAGTCACCAGCATGTGCTGTCAGAACTGTGCCACTTGACAGCGAGTGCTGGGGAGGACGAGCTGCATTAGCACAGTCATGGTTTCTGAGTTCTGAGCTTCTCCTGGGCTGCGTGTCCAGGGAAACCCAGATCCTGGGAAGTCCTGCTGCAGCCACTGGCAGCAGTTTGAACCCTGTCACGCTCACTGCTGACAAGTCCAGTCACATCAGGTAAAGAGAATATACCTGCCACGAGATGTTTGTGATGCATATCTGCGTGTCAGAAAGGGTAAACAAAATGCACGAGTGGTTAATTTTGAAGGGTTTTTGTTTTTAAGTCCTCTCATTTGCAGGTAATAAAGACATAAATTTTGTCTTCATGTGTAAAGTAGGAGCAGACCTTTAGTACCAGCTAAACACAGGATTATCATAAATCTTCAGCAGACTATTTGTAATGGTTGGGCATTTCTTCCAGGTGCTGCTTCCTGTGAAGTTGTCATAAAATCTGCATTTTTGCCCTAGGTGAGGATGGGGATTCCTTATGCTACTCTCTAAAAAAAAAAAAGCAACTTTCTGCAGTGTCATATTATGATCTGCTTTTAGGCAGTATGGTATTTTGGGTGACCATCGTAGTACAACTTCAACGTTCACAAATACAAAAATAAACTAAAAGTAAATAGAATAGGAAGCTGGTAAATAACTTCTAAATGGTGCTAACTGTGGACAGACTGTGGACAGTTCTCTGCATCAACTGAGCTGGCAGAGCTGAGGTATAAAATGAAATAAAATTCACAGAGAAGGAAGATCAGCAAGAATTTGAAAAAAAAAAGAAATAGCGGAGCCTGTGTACTAACAATAATTTTTGGTCAGTGCTTGTTTTGAGAAGCAGGTTTGGAAGACTGTAGTGGAAGGGAAATCAAAGATGTGAAATTGAAATGAACCTTGATTGAATACTCTTCAAAAGGCCTGAATGCTTTTTAGGTCGTTGGCCATCATGTTTTAGATGACCATATGCCTGACATTAAGTTTCAGAAGAGCTGCTGTAGGTGGTAAGAGGTCGTGTCCTTGGGAAATCTGCTGTTCTACTATTACAGCAGGATGAATTTACAGGAAATGTGCTTTTTTTTTTTTTTTACTGTGAAAAAAAATGCTTAATGAAAAGTTTTTTGTAAATTGTTCTATGGGGAAGTAGCTCTTCACAGAATTTTGTCTTAAAGTACTGCATTTTGTTGATCTCTGGAAAATGTACTGGGGAAACAGGAGTTAACTGTGTGCGAGGAGTAAGAGCACCAGACACAACTACATTAGCAACAAAACTTGTAGTCATTAGAGCTGTGGTTTTTTTAAACTCAGAATTCTTCAGGTTCAAATCCCATGAAGGAACTCATTAACTATGTGTGAAAGTAGGTTACATGCATTAATATATAAATATGATTAAGTGTGGGGTGGTTTGTGTTGTTTTTTTTTTTTAAGCTAACCCATGTCTTCTCCTCGGGCTTTTGAGATGTAAAGAACCAAAAATACACGGACCTAGTTCTTGTAGGGCACATTAGGAAACACATTTGTATTACCTACCTTTGCAGAGCCTAATTTTTACCTGCTGCCTGTCTCTCTTCTTTTTATCACTCCAGGATCTCTCTCTTAGTCCAGCTGCTCTTCACATTGGGTAGAATTGGTCAGGTAGGTTGCCAATGTTGGAGCATTGTGTTTCCAGCCAAGGGTAATGTTTCAGTGGCTCTTTTTGGAGATAAAATTAATCTCCACCTTGTACCTAGTCTATACAAGTCCCATTTATTTTGAGTGTTGGTTTTGCAAAGAAAATCTGTTTAGGTTTCTATATAAAGAGTTATTGCAGGAGACTCAAGAATTTCCTGCCCTTGTATTTTAAGGGTAGCAGATTCCAAAGTGTGCTCTGGTACCACAGGCTGTTACAGACTCCAAATGCCAATTGATTCAGGTTGCTCTCATTTGAAAAATTCCAATACAAAGCTCAGAAAAATCCATTAACTAATTTCAGAGGTAAAAATTGGGAGAAAAGTGAGTGGTTATATGAAACTTGTAAGTGAAGCAGTGGGAAGTATGAGTTGATGTTTTGTGTTTTCAGTGTCTGGCTGTGTCATTATGTGCTGTGGCTGTGGGCAAGTTGGTGGGCGAGTTCAGAAACTGTAAGGTTTGCATGAGTGCTTAGTTTAGGGTGTGAGTAGGAAAATAAGTAGGACCTTGTGAGGGGGTGGTTGGGTGTGAGCAGACTCTGTGCATGCTGAAGGATTTGTGCAGCCACAGAGAGAGGAGCGTTACCTGTTTTTTGGTTTTGCATGGAAGCTGTTTGGCTGACTGGTTATGAGTAGGACACTTGTAAATTACAGTGATGTGTTTTCCCTCTAGTTATTTGGCAACTGGATTATCCATGCAGCTCAGAGATGGCAGCTTCAGTGGGAAGGGGCCACAGAAACACATGGAATATTGCTGGTGTCGTGAGTCCCATCTGCCTGTCTGGTCCTTAGGGTGGCTTCTGCAAGTACAGAAAAATAATAAATGCCTGTTTAATTTTTAAATGTTCAGTCTGTGGGACCAGGTAGACTTTTAATTTTTGTGGTGGTTTGATTCTTGAGGTCTTGCCTCAGCTGCCCAATGCCAAGTGGCTCGTAGCCCTCCAAGGGCAGTGAAGTCTGGAGTGGTTGTGTGAATTCCTACAGAACTGCCTTACATATACAGGTTTATCTAATCCCTCTTTGTGCCCCTGGAGCAAATCCTGTCATTTGCAAAACACAGAAGTCTTCCTGCATATCTCTAACATCTTGTGGTATATTCCTGAGCCTGAGAAAAGCAGGGTTCCTCAGGAGCAAAGTGCCATAGGACAAAGCGTGGTTTGGCTCAAAGTGATGTGCATCCCAGAGAAGTTAAATTGGAGCCAGGTCAGCTCTCAGTTTTCTCTTCTGGAACAAGTCAGCCAGAAGCCTGCACTTCTTTTGTAGCACTCTTTGTCCTGGCACTTGCCCTAATGTAGATCCAGTTCTATTGCCTTGGCTTAATTTATTTAGTTTGAGAGCCCGGTGTAAATTACAGTGGCGTAAGAGGGCTTTTACCAGAACAAACCATGCTTGCACTGGTAAGTTTGGCCTAAGTTGTAGCATATATCCGCCAACCTTTTATAGGATAGACTTGGTCCAAGTATTCCTGGTATCCTCAGCAGTAGCAGCAGATGTTCCCATCCCAACAGATCTGTCACTGTCTGGCATGACTCGTTCCTGGCCAGCTGAAACTTGCAACTCTTAATATTTTGCTCGCTTACTGTCTGCCTGCCTGGATCACAGGGAGCATGTGGGAGCTACCTGAACAAAGAGGATATTTAAGCTCATATTCTTAGACAAACTTAGTGTTGTTAAGCAGGGATTGTGCTGCTCTGTTAGGAATTAAATTAGGACGTTTTTGTTACTTCAGCGAGTTTGGTCTTTGATTTTCACGCATCTGCGTGAACAGATTACAGATGGCTGTTTGTGTTCTATACTGTTCCCCAAGGCTTTTTGAACTCAGTAATGGACCAGTAATCATATTTTCATCTTTTTCGAGATGAGCATAATGTAGCTAAAGGAGAATGTAAATGCAAGGTTAAGTTCACGTTATTTTCCATGCACTTGTAAATAGCTGTAAATTGTAAATGGATTATGGGCAGAAATAACCCTACAGCATTTGCATCTTCTCACTTGTGCTGTTCAACCTTCTGACATCTCTAAAACATTACAGGCCTTGTGAGACTCTGCACAGCCTCAAAATCATAACCTCTTTGCCGATGCCAAAATAGATTTCCATGGAGATGTGGTGGGACGTGCCCCCATCACTGAACTCCTGCCCTTTCCTCTGTGTGCTGGCACTTGGAGCATTTGGAATTGTCCTGAAGGCATCCTGCTGAGACACCATCCCTGTGTGAGTGTGTTTGGGAGCATCCCTGAGTGCTGGTGTGAGAAGTGGGACGGGGCAGTTCTTGTTACACCTGTTGGACAATAAATATTATAGAGCAAGGTCAACTGGAAGCCAGTGCACGCCAGTAGCTTCTGCTGCCGACTTCCTGGTAGCTGTTTTGTTTTTATTGACGTCTATAGAGACCTTTTATGGTGTTTTAAAACTTTTGTTTCAATCTGGGACAGGTACTGAAGTCAGGAACACAAACAGCAGCTGGAGCTGGGAGGTGTTTG